AGATAACACAGGAAAAGTAACTCTAGGGAGCAGCTACCACGCCTGATACTGGGAGACAAGAAGTGGTTTGAGTTGTCAGAACTAGAAAGAAAACGAAAGAAGAGATCTTGCAGAGCCTGGTTCTGAGAGTACCAAAAGAGACTGAATAGCATTGCTGATAGGGACAGTAAGCCACTAGGAAGAAGGAAGTCCCATCTCCTCTCATTCTGACTTTCAGTCTCCTTGTATTGTCCCTTTGGGGCAGACCCCAGGAGGGAGTCAATTGGTGAAGGAGAACGATGGTTTGCAGATCCCCAGCCCCAGCATCCCAGGGCAGAGTATAGAAGAACAGATTTCGATCAGACGCAATAGTTTAATAGCTAGTACACAATGTAAAGAACTGAGGGAGACGCAGGAAGAAGTATCAGCTGCAGAAGAAGTATAAGAAACTCCCAACAAAAAGAAGCTTAGCATGTTTAGAAAACAGAAGGGAAGCCAGTGGGCCAGGAGTTCAGTGAGGTAGGGAGTCCATGAGAAGAGTTTGCAGAAGTAAGCTGAGCCCATGTCATATGGGGCTTTGTAGAATGTGGTAAGGTGTTAGAATTTGATTTTGAATGCATTTAAACCCTCTTTCTTTCCTCTTATTTATTAACTGCTATTGATCTTTAGGGTCTCTGGTTATACAGAAGGCAATTTAACTTACCCAGTCATGTCTTATCATGTGATCGCCTGCTCGCTTTTCTGTATCCAGTGCTATACTGTAAGCACCAGGAGCATAGAGAAATTGTCTTCTTGCTGGAAGTTATATTCTTAGGAATTTTTATGGTACCTCAGCACCTAATATCACTCTCTATATATGTTTATTGAATGAGATAATTAATGAACAAACTACCTGAGATAAGTCTTCCCTGATCAGCTCCCTTAGTGATTTCGTATATTCCATCACACTTCCTTTAACTCAGTGATTTGTCTCCCCCACTAGAGGGTAACTCGGAGGACCAGATAATTATTTATTATTCAACAGTATCTTTCCAGTGCCCGGCACTTAGGAAATGTTCATTGCATAAATGAGCACATGACTGACTGAATGAATGAACAACCAAACAAATAGTTGAAGCTCAGTGCAGATACACGGGTGTCATCTGCATATGGGTGCAAACTAAAGCCATTGGATTGGGAGGTAAAACGAATATGTAGAGTGAGATGACAATGAAGTAATAGCAAACATGTCAGTTGTTAATACACAAAAAGATCCCCATACCGCACTCCAAGAAGTAGGAGAAAAAATACGTCATAGAGAAACCAAAACAAAAACTAAAAGATCTTTTCTTTTTTCTCCTTTCTTCCTCCCCCCCTACCTTCTTTTGTTCCTTCCTTTCTGTCTTTTTAAACATCAGTCACCCATAGATGATACCACAGAGAAGACAAGTTAGGTAAGAACTAAAAGTGGCTAATCAATTGTATAACCAGAAGGTCACTGGTCACTGTAATAAGAGGAGCTGGGGATGACAGTTATTTGAAACTAGCTGCAGAGAATGGACAGCAACTTTAAAGACACTTGGCTATAAAGGAAGGGGGGAAGCTTAATTTGTATAGCTAGATAATACAATTTAAGGCAGAAAATTTTAGGAGAAAGAGCAGAACTGACAGGAAAATTCCAAGAGAGTATTTGAAGAATGACTTTTGCCATTGAGACAGAGAGCAGGGGGTAGGTTGGGGCATAGATGCAGAAGGTGGACGGGGATCTTTCCTGAAGCCTCCTTTCTCTCTGGGAAAGAGAAAGGGAAGAACTCTGTGAGAGTGAGCCAGGAGGTGGCCGGGTAGGAGGCCTGGATGGGAGACAGATGCTCAGGGGGACATGGAAAGATTACTCGATGGACAGTGGCCTCCATCTATGCCCTTGAAGTCTTCTCCAGCCCCTGTCATCTGTTGGATAGTCGAGGACAGAGGAGATATAAATGATTCTAGACTGAGGCTTTCCTGGGCATCTTTGGCAAAAAGCCACAGGCCCTGAGGAATTAGTCAAGGTTTCTAAAGTGATAACTCATGGGGCTGAATTGGATAGAGAAAGAAATGAGTTGAGAAGAGCTATCCTGGAGTGGAGAAATCAAGAGGTCATGGGAGTGCTGGTCTTGAGGTCTAAGAGCAGCTACACGCATGTGTGCCTACGTGTCCCTCAACAGGTGTGTGGCATAAGGACAAATCTTCAGATCCAGCTTTCCACTTTGCTTAGTAAGATGATGGAATTGGACTAATTAATCTCTATTTTATTTTTATTTTCTTGGCTTTCACGTTTGATGATGCTATGTTCATTCTGGAGGATTATAAGGGTGTAAGGAGAAGCAAGACACTAACTGAATTCTAAGTGAGCCATAGTAACATACCTCCAATTTACTTCATATTATCTCAGTTGTAGAGGATGTGAAGTTTGGGGTATGAGAAATTTATGTGTTCAAACTACGGTTAGAAGTAAAGGTCTTATTTTAACTTTAATAATATACCAGGAGGATTGAAGGTGAGTGGATTGTTATCTTAGGGATAAAATCTATATAGAATAATAACAATAATAAAATCTGTAAGCTTCTAAGGTGTCAGAGAAATATGGGATACAGTGATAAAGCACATTAGAGTATAATGGGAACAACAGAAGGAAGGGAAAGTATAAGGATTTAGGCTTATATTTAAACATTTGATGACATGTTCTAGGTTTGACAAGTGTTGGGAATTAAAAACGTATCATCTATAACATATAATATATAATGCAATATATAATATGCAATATTATGTATAATGTATAATAAAATTATATAGTAAGTGAGTGAATTTATTTAAAAAATAAAAGGTCCCCAAATTAAAAGGTCCATGTAAGCTCCACGAGGTAGTGACCTCGTCTGTCTGACTCACCGCTCTGTCTTTAGCACATAGCACAGTGGTTGGCACCAGATGCTCACTTTCCCTGAGAAAAAGGAAAGTAAATGTAAGATGGCATTGCTTCTTTTTTTGTGATGTAGGCAGAGAGAGACAGGAATAATAACACATTTTAACAACCTGGAATTTTTAGAAATTCTGTCTTGGCTATAGAATGGATTATACGATCATTATGTGATCAAAATAATCACTATGACTATTTAATGATCATTAATTTAATAATATGACTAATGTCTAATGATAGAAGTCATTTTGGTGACCTCTGACCATATCATATATTGATCTGATCTCATTAGACATTTTTCTCAAGGTCATTAAAATGTCTGCAGATTATCTCAAATATCCTTTCTCCTCCAAGTGATGTGATATAATTAGAAGACATGCATGTTCATTCTTATACAAAACTATAATTATATTCCACTCCTTCCAGCACTCAGTCCTATATTATGTCTACTAGACCATAATGGAATGAAAATTTACTTTTTAAGACTGGCAGCATGAACATTTTTAATTGAAGTTTTTTTGTTTGTTTTTTTTTTTTTTTTTTTTAAGGCAAAAGAATGAATGGTATTTCATCTTTTATTAAAGGATATCATATATTCTGAGTACTATATACTTATATTCTTTGTCAGTTAAGAAAAAAAACATAGGAAAATGATTGAAAGGAACATGTGTAAAATGCAAATAAACTATAGTGGCTTGGGATAAACTCATTAAAGTTAATGGTATGAATGATCTTCACAACCAGTGATGGAAATAAAGTGATACTTTTCTCAGGGGAGAAGTGAAACCACAAAAATATGGAAAGAATTATTTTCAAAATGTTTAATAATGTGGTACCACATTTCTCA